GTTGTAGCCACAGCTGCCCTGGGGCAGACTGACAGAAGCCAGGCTGCCATATCGCGCCATCGGCCCCTCTGGCCAACACCAGTAGGCGGTAGGGTACATTTATTATATTATATTACATTATATCATATTATATTATATTACATTATATCCTCTATCACATTAGAGCCACAACAGGACCCACTAGAACATGGGAACAAGTAAAAGTGAAATATAAGAATATTCTACAGCATGGTAATATTTATCACTTATATTGCTTTTAGTCTCTTGAAAAGAGACCCTGAAATAATCTGTTTGTTTGTTTATAACAGCAACCAGGAAAAGGGCAGAGCAAAAAAAGACAGGTGGTGGTCCTGCACCCCCTCGTCAACCAGTTGGTTAAGTAAATAATACCCTTACGGGAAAATCGATATCTCTCTATGAGCACACTGTCGCGCTGAGCTAAAGGATCCTGTCTATCCCGCAATATACGCTGAATTCTGAAAACTCTCCTTATCAATCTTGCACCTTCCGCAATGGGTGGCTGCGACAGACTTCCCAAATCCACCTTCGCTTTTATAGCCGTGGTCTCTCATCTTGCTTACATGAAGTAACTTACAATTACAACTCTAAAATATGAATTACATCTGAAATAATCAAATACATGGAATGGAATGATTAATAGTACATTTCCCTTTTTAAAGGAAATGACCTGTATGTATCTGTATGAAATCAATAAAAGAATCAAGTGCTGCATTATCTTTAGTTACATTGATAATATTTATTTATGGACAAACAGTGGTAAAATATCGCTGTTGCTTTCGTATAAATGAAGCGGACATACCTGAGTGGCCGCGATCTAATCCAGTTTACATAAAGTAAGCCTGCTCCCAAGCAGGTTTACGCTTACGGATCTGTTGCTATGACAGCAAGTGATGAGCTTCGGAGAACCGAACGATCCAAGATCACGCGAAATCGTCAACAATCAAATCCAGCTAACTTACTTAGCGAGGTACGAAGAACGGACCCCTGGGCCCTATTTCAGAAAGCAGGTTTAGAAAACTCAGAGTTAAAAACGATACTCAGGGTTGAGTAACCCTGAACTGTCCAACTCGGAATATTCGGTTTCAGAAAGGCTGATAACAATTAGTTCAATCAACGCAGAGTTGCTTTAACCCCAAATTAAGCGAGCGCACGAGGATACATAAAGCCCTGATCAGTGGAGCACAGATTAAGCGAGTCACCATGGAGACGGAGGGAAAGAAGGCGCGGTCAATGTATCTTACAGCGCTTGAGGCCGAAATTCTGATGGCAGCATATGCCGATAACATGCAAATTTTGCGGAAAAAAAGTAACACAGCTTCAGCTGCAAAAGAAAGGGAGCATGCATGGCAAAATATAGCCGACAGAGTCAATGCGTGAGTGTTAATTTAAACATTGATCTAGGGATTTCCACCCATTTAACACGTTATTTTATTATATTTTATTTTATTTTTTATTTTATACATTTTATTTTGTGATGTGATGTGAGCACAGGTGCAACCCAACAGGCCCCAAACGTTCCTGGCAGCAAGAAAAAATGAAATATAAAAATATAGTCCAAACAGGTAAGGTGTAATTGTATTATGAGCCATAGTGCTTGGTCTGTTTGTCCTATGTAAATCAATTGCAGTTAGAGGCTAATTTTCTTTCTGTAAGCACTTATTGAAATTATCTGAGCACATTACAAGTACATATTTGCTTACTCTGTATGCTCAAATGTGACCCGTTATAGCCACTAGAAAAAAAGCGGAGGCCCGAAAAACAGGTGGGGGTCCTCCACCACCACTCACAGAGGCTGAGCAGTTGGCTTCCACATTTGTGATAATGTTGGCAGCATCACATATGATCTTCACAGTGCAGAGAACACAAATTAGCATCCATTACTATAATGACATAATTTGTTAGTTTGAAATGCTACAGGGAACCATGTACCTGTACATTAATGCTGTGGAAAGACTTCCTGTTCACATAGTCTCCTTCATTTACTGAAGGAGCAATGATTGGAATGTGAGTGCCATCTATACAGCCAATCACGCCTGGGAACCGTGAGAATAAATGTAAAATTTAAGTAGTAGTTCAAGTATCACCACATCATGAATTAAGTTTTGTTCATCCTGATACCTGCAATTTTGTGGAATCCCTCTTTGATAAATCTTGTGGGTCTATGACCGGGGAACACCACAAACGAGTACAGGAGACGTTTCAGTGCAACTGTAACATTCCTGACTGCCCGACAGACGGTAGCCTTGGAAACGTGCTCAGCGTCACCAATATTATACAGAAAGCTCCCGTTTGCAAAAAAACGAAGTGCAATACAAATAATATGTACAGAACTGAGAGAATGTCCGCGATGTGTCACATGAGCAATATTAGGCCTGAGGATGTTATTCAAATAAATTATAGATTGTGCTGAAAAACGGTAACGTTCACACAGGAAATCATCAGGAAATGATAAAATGTCCAAACCCGCTCTAATCACTCTCTCCCGGCGGAGAGCTCTGCGGAGAATTTGGGCTTCAACATCTACTGGCTCTTCAAGGAAGGGGCAGGCCATGTCTGACACTTCCTGCAGTCAGGTTTCTGACAAAGAGGCGGAGAACGTCAGGGTTAGTTGAAGTAAACCTGCTAGGGGGCAGGTCAGCTTCACGGAGTGTGTCGTCATAGTAACTCACTCAGAATTAATCTAAACTCGCTTTGTGAAACCGAAAACCCAGAGTTTTCGTTAACTCAGGGTATACTTACTCAGAGTTTGCACTAAACCGGCTTCCTGAAATAGGGCCCGGGGCCTTACCTGTGAGGTAAACACGACATCACAATAATCACATAAACAGGTGATCGACCACGTCATCGGTCCATAGGGCCACGCCCTTAACATCTCGTGACGTCATTTGTTTTTGTTTCCATTTCCTGATCAGACTTTTAATGTGAATTAATTCTCGATCACTGATCGATCGCTGATTAGCTGACAACAGCGGAGGAAGAAAATCAATCACAAATCTTACTGATGATCGAGTCTACCGCTGTAAACAACAGCAAACAACCGACAGGAAACAAACACGCTGGGTCTGACCTGCAGCTGATGTTCAATCTCTGATTTTCGATCTGAAGCTTCACGCGATGTGCATCACCGACCAGCTCCCATTCCGACCCTCACCGGAAACTACAGCTCAGAGTACGACACGCCCATTTCAAAATAAAAGCCGAAACTTTATATTACGTCAAACCAAACGATTTTTTAAACTCAATAAGATCAGCTGATCGGTCATAAAGGATCTCACCCCGCTTTGTGTTCATCACGTTCTAGAAACGCAAGCTTTTCTCTTCCGGAAAGCGTCAGTTACCATGGTAACAGACTGTGCCCCTTACCTGGAGAAGATGACAGAGTGGAATTTTTCACTCAGTGAATCACAAAACACCATCATACGACAGGGTATGAGAACAATATATGGAATGTGGAGATAACACGTTGCTGTCCCCTCCTCGTGTCAGTGAAACAAAGCGATCAGTCCCTCAGTGATACATCATCCATCCTCGTTCATGCACGAGGGTGTAACCATCGATAACCTCGCATATCTCCATTACCAGACATTTCGTTTTGCACAAATTCTATCTTCTACATTTGTGTTTTCCTTCTGATCAGACGAAGCTTGCTGTACCACCTCTTCATCGTCCTCATTCTGATTTCCGCCCTGTGTTTATGATTCCAAAGACAAATTGTTTCCTTTATTACTACAACGGAAAGTACGTCCTCGCTAACACAGCGGCACTTTGTCCTGAAACAACAGCTGTAATCTGCACATTACCACTGCTATTTCTTAAAATGACCAATAACGGCTTTTTATTTTTCTAAATGTGGCTGTACCATCCACACCGGTGATTGTCTGCCAAAAACTGCCTTCTTGTTAGTGTATAATATGTGAAACATATATCAAATGTATCCCTCATGAATGATATCACGTCATCTTGAGCAACAAACAACATTCCTGTAACAAGGTAGAAGCCGCAATCAGTTTTTGGCAGTGAGATTTATGTATCCTTTATGTTTGCAGTTTAAAAAAAATATTGACTTTAAAAATATCTTTTAAGAGTAATCTGACCAAGAGGACAGCTGAAATTGCAACAAATGCAAAAATAGTTCTGTAAATATATTGTAAGTGGACAAAAGGGAGCTGATTGATTATAATGTAAGTGCAATAACACAGTCACAATGATACTTGAGAAACAGGTAATTTTTTAATTTTATATATAACCACTTTGTAATACCTGTTCACAAAAGACTTTTTAGCAACGTAACGATATTACACATAAAAAATAAAAAAACACGCAAACATTGCAAATCAGTTTTTGGCAGGCAATCCACTTTTTGCCACAACACCGGGATACTCTCTTGCTTCTTTTATGTTGAAAGATTGGGTTGGTTTCCTGTTGTTATGGCAGTGAAACTGCAGGCGCAGTAAAAGGATTGCGACATTAGCAGAGCTAGAGGATAGGCTGCAACAAAGATCCGTGCGAGGCAATAGTCTGACGGTTTTGGTTTTCAAACTACAAAATGAATGAAATGTTTGGATCAATTAAGTAACAATCCCTTTGAGACCTTATACCAGGGGTCGGCAACCCTGTGCACGCCTGCCACAGCTGGCACGAAAAGGGTTAACTGATGGCACGACCCGCAGTGAATTACTCTGAGAAGGTGCATTAAAAATAAAGGGCACCGATGCACATCGCAAGTTAGCTCGCATAGACACATTAGTTGTGTTGCTTCTTAATGACGGCATCTTAGCTAATTACCCAATTACCAGATTCAACTTGTAATTGGCCAAAAATCACCTAGCCTAACGGTGAGAGGGACCTTGCTAGCTGACAGTTTTTTCAAGCGATGTTGAAATTTCCACATTCCGACACTTCAAATGCCTCAGAGCTGTCCACTCAGCGCAGCATCAGCACCACGGAAATACAATAGTGTACTAATGGTAAATGGTCTGTATTTGTATAGTGCTTTACTTGGTCCTAAGGACCCCAAAGCGCTTTACTTGGTCCTAAGGACCCCAAAGCGCTTTACACTATACACACACACATTCACACACTGGTGATGGCAAGCTACAGTGTAGCTACAGCCGCCCTGGGGCGCACTGACAGAGGCGACGCCAACATGCCAACAAATATAGATCTATAAAGTTGTTCTATATAGTGTGTAACTGTTGATATAGAGCGTTATTAAATTTATTGCTAATGCAATGGTTGATATGGCACATTGACTTCTGAGGAAATTTTAGATGGCACTCATCAGAAAGGTGGACGACCCCTGCCTTATACTATGATACAAATGTTTAAAAAAGCAAAGAAAAGTGCTTTAGTGCTTGTCTTTTAGCTAACACCGTGTAGGAGAAAAAATTACATTAATAAATAATATGAACAATAATCACAAATCTAAGAAAAGCAGCTGCATGAGGCTACAATAGAAACACGTGTTCACACATGATAGCAGTGACAGTGAGGTTGAATCAGTCTGACGGAGGACGAGCTCTACTGTGGGGGTGATGGGCTGTCCATGATTCGACTCAAACACTTCCAAATTCTGACCAATGATGCTTGCAGTCTTGTGGATTAGTTTGTTGATTCAGCTGCATCTCTGCACTGATGCTGCCCTTCAGCAGAGTAAACGGCTCTTGCTGCCACAGACTGGTAGAACATCTCCAACATCCTGCTGCACACATTAAAGGACCCAAGCTTCTTTAGAAAGTAGTTTCTTGTACACAGCATCACTGTTAGTCCTCAACAAAAAGCTTTTTTTTTTTACTTAGGACATTCATGTCAAGTAAAAAGATTACTTCTATAGCACATTTAAAAACCTCAGCTGAAAAAGTACATAAAAGTTACTAAATCAACATTGGATCAAGAAACATCCAAGATTAGCTGTTTCACAGGCCGCAGGAATGCAGCACCAAACCATCAAGACACGTAACAAGATTTAAAACTGGATCCTCAAAGCAGTAACATATTTAAAGGGATAAACGAGTCACAGCTGGAAGCTGATGTGAACGCCTGCTTAACGATCAGGCTGACAAAACTTTCAGGCTGCTGCAGACACCGTTTCTATTTCTGCTGTAATCTGATTACACTTCCTGTTAAATATGTTCAGTCACTAAATCATGTCAAATGACATTAGAGTATTTAAAAGTAGAATGGGAGGGAGAGCCTTCAGTTTTCAGGCCCCTCTTCTGTGGAACCAGCTTCCAGTTTGGATTCGGGAGACAGACACTATCTCTCTACTTTTAAGATTAGGCTTAAAACTTTCCTTTTTGCTAAAGCATATAGTTAGGGCTGGACCAGGTGACCCTGAATCCTCCCTTAGTTATGCTGCAATAGACGTAGGCTGCCGGGGGATTGCCATGAGGCATTGAGTTTTTCATTTTCAGTCACCTTTCTCACTCACTATGTATTAATAGACCTCTCTGCATTGAATAATATCTGTTATTAACCTCTGTCTCTCTTCCACAGCATGTCTTTTATCCTGTCTTCCTTCTCTCACCCCAACTGGTCACAGCAGATGGCCCCGCCCCTCCCTGAGCCTGGTTCTGCCGGAGGTTTCTTCCTGTTAAAAGGGAGTTTTTCCTTCCCACTGTCGCCAAAGTGCTGCTCATAGGGGGTCATATGATTGTTGGGTTTTTCTTTGTATCTATGAAGCGCCTTGAGGCGACTTTTGTTGTGATCTGGCGTTATATAAATAAAATTGAATTGAATTGAAAAGGTTCAGTCTGAAAATAATCTGAATCCACTTTAGCGGGTCAACCAGAACCGAATCATAGGCTCCTGAACAGACCAGAGTCCACCTGCACAGCAAAATCAGGATCATGTATCAGTCTGGACCTCCCAGCTCATTCTGTCCAGATCAAAGAGATATGAGGCCACTAACACACCTGTCTGACCCCCAGTCAATGCATCAGTGTCCACAACCTTCAGAACAGTCAGGAAACAGTGTGATCACTCTTTAATAATCTGATGCTGTTTAATAAAGTTTATTTTCTATTTGAAGTCCAGCTCTCAACTCCTCTGAGCCCCTCCCTCCACACGGCAGCGTTTTGTCCGTCACGTGCCAGGTGAGGCGCAAACACCACCTCCAACCTGCGGAGAGCACTGCTCTGGTCACCACGGACGACCGTTCCTTGGAGACGGCTCATCATCAGCCGAACCATCACCTGATTGGCCCACGCCAACCCAAGAGCAGGAGACACGGTGGACAGCGAAGGCCTGAGTAGGAGGAAATTTATGCTGAAGTGGTTCTGAGGTCAAAGGTCAAAATGTGATCAGCTCATAAAGAAGATATCTGATTTACCCCATACTGTTGTGTGATTGGCTGAAAACATCTGTTACCTGGAAAACAAACACCTGTCACTGATTAGTGGTCAGAGATAAGAGACTGAACTCTGGTGTGCTACCTGGATGGTGTTACCTGGTTGATGCAGAGCACAGGTGTGCTGAACTCCTGACTCAGGTGATGCAGCATGGAGGAGAAGGTGAGTAGCTGTCTGTTCCTCTCTAGCCAATCATCGGCCTGGAACTCGGTCCTGAACAGCGCTGCCACTGAGTCGACCACGATTAGTCGCACCAGACCGCGTGTCAGTAGGAGGCGGGCACGGCGTGTTAGGCACACCAGGAGGGAATCCTGAGGACAGAGCAAGAAGTTATGGGTTGTAACGGGGTCTGAACAGATGTCGCATGATCAGACTTACCAGGTCCGCGGTATGCTCAATGTAAACGTGGTCGCTGAAGCGAAGACTGCTTACAAGGTCCGCAGGAACGTCAGAACGCAGACAGACTTGCTCGCCAATCAGCTGGTGCAGACGCTTAATGGGAAATGAGTCCTCAGTGCAGACATACAACGCACCTGGAACCAACAACGAACACACAAATAATGAATGTGACATATCAGAGGTTATTTATTAACTTACAAATCAGCAGGTAAAGTAAGTAAGTAAATTTTTATTTATATAGCACTTTTCTAGATAAAAGATTACAAAGTGCTTCACACAGAGATTAAGTATAAAACAAAAACAGACAAAAGTTAACAAAAATGCAAATTTAAAAATGTGTTTTTAGTTGTTATTAAAAAGAGACTACTGAGTCCACAGATCTTAAGCTCAGTAGGAGAGAGTTCCATGGTCTGGGAGCCACAGTGGTAAAAGCTCTGTCTCCCTTAGTTCTCAGCCTTGTATGCTGAATAACAAGTAGGGCTTGATCACATGACCTCAGGGACCTGCTAGGGACATAGGGCTTTAAAAGTTCAATGATGCAAGCTGGTGCTTGTCCATGAAGGTCAGAACCAGAATCTTAAAATGGACACTGAATTTAATGGGGAGGCAGTGCAACTGTATTAGCAACGGTGTCACATGTGAGTACTTTGATGATCTGGCCGGAAGCCTTGCTGCAGCGTTTTGAACAATCATCAGATGCTCCAAGGAGTTTTTGCTTAGACATGTAAACAGTGAATTACAGTAGTCTAATCATGATGAAATGAATGCATGTATAACAACTCCAGTTCAGTGCGAGATACAATAGGGCTTAATTTAGCAATGTTTCTTAAGTGATAAAACCAAGACCAAACCAGAGATTTGACATGAGCATCCAAAGTGAGAGGTGGGTCAATTTTATTTATATAGCACTAAATCACAACAACAGTCGCCTCAAGGCGATTTATATTGTAAACAATGTTCCCTCTAAGCTGCGCACGTGCGCAATTGCGCACTGTAGGCACGGTCTCTGCGCACAAAAATTCTAACCTGAATTGAAATTAAAATTAATACTTTGACAATTCTGTTTTGCAGTGTTAGTCAGTAAGTGACTGGCTGCTCCCATATGGGATTAGAACGATGCCATCTTATCCCATAGTCCAGCCAATAATGCGATTCACATTCGCACATACGCAGCTAATCAACGTCGTTGACAGGCTATGACAGCGTTCTGATATGCTGACACCGGTGTTTTAGCTAGCAAAGCGGCGTGGCTGATGTGGAGTGAAGCCACGTTAATGACAACGTGTACAACCATTGGAGATGTGAGCAGGACAGACGGAACAATTGACGGAAAAAGTGTGGACTTTATACTAGTTTTTAAATTGAGTTGATAGGCCACGTAAAACCATAATTATGATAAAAATATCTGCAATGTTTGGTTTTCTTCCTGAATACTATCGTTGTTTATATTTACTGCGGGAAGAAACGGTAAAAACGGCGTTTTATACGAAAAAAAGGCTCGAAAACACTCTCTGCCTGTGAGCAAAAACAAACCCTACCCCCCTCTCCCTTTCCTATTCGTCCAAAAAAGTACCATGTCAACCAATCAAAAAATGATATGGCAATGTGGCATTTAGTTGTTAAGAAACGGGGGGAAGTTTTAGGAGTGATGGCGGTGTTTTGAGATGTGAGAGATTTGAGACGTTTAGTGCAAATCCTGTGTAGTTAGTGTGTAGTGTAGTCAATAGTTTTGTTGTGTGTGTCAGAACAATGAGGCGACTGCTGAATGTTACAGGTGTTACAGGAGTGATACATCTCCTGTTGTCAGGCCTGCAGGTATCAGGCTGTTGTCAAAGGAGCTTGCAAAGAAAAGCGTCTGGACTTCTTTTAAGTTACTTGAAAACGTTTCACCTCTCATCCGAGAAGCTTCTTCAGTTCTAAGGTCAAATGGTGGAGAGTCCCAGATATAAACCTAGTGGGCGTAACCCCCCACAGAGGGACAAAAGGACCCCCTGATGATCCTCTAATCGCCTGAGCCAAGGTGTGAAACTGGGTGTGGGTCCCAATCAGCCAGAGTTTCGGGTGAGTTCATTGTGAAACCTGGCCCCACCTTATCATGCGAACTCCTGAGATCAGATGGCCCAGGATGTGAGTGGGCGTTAAGGCGTCTGGGAAGGGATCTCAAAACTGGATTATAGATGGCAGAGAGTTGGTGTCGTAAACCACCGCCTCTGTTCAAAGATGGTCGCTCACAGTGGACATAGATGGCTTCTTTCACTCGTCTTTCAAACCATCATTAAATGGGCGTTCTTAAAGTCAGCAAAGAGGCACAGAAAAGAAGACCAGACACCATCGAGGGAGGATAAGAAAGACAGACGCAACAATGTTGTCATCCCCTATGTAGCCGGTGTATCAGAAAAACTCAGGAGAGTTTTCTCCAAGCATGACATCCCGGTGCATTTCAGACCCAGCAACATGCTCAGACAAAAACTGGTTCACCCGAAAGACAAAACGCCAAAACACAGACTTGTCAATGTGGTGTATGCTGTATAGTGCAGCGAGGAATGCCCAGACCTCTACATTGGAGAGACCAAACAGCCACTTCACAAGCACATGGCACAACACAGAAGAGCCACCTCCACAGGACAAGACTCAGCTGTCCATCTGCATCTTAAGGATAAAGGTCACTCTTTCGAGGATGCCAATGTTCACATTTTGGACAGAGAGGACAGATGGTTTGAAAGAGGAGTGAAAGAAGCCATCTATGTCCACTGTGAGCGACCATCTTTGAACAGAGGCGGTGGTTTACGACACCAACTCTCTGCCATCTATAATCCAGTTTTGAGATCCCTTCCCAGACACCTTAACGCCCACTCACATCCTGGGCCATCTGATCTCAGGAATTCGCATGATAAGGTGGGGCCAGGTTTCACAATGAACTCACCCGAAACTCTGGCTGATTGGGACCCACACCCAGTTTCACACCTTGGCTCAGGCGATTAGAGGATCATCAGGGGGTCCTTTGGTCCCTCTGTGGGGGGTTACGCCCACTAGGTTTATATCTGGGACTCTCCACTATTTGACCTTAGAACTGAAGAAGCTTCTCGGATGAGAGGTGAAATGTCTTCAAGTAACTTAAAAGAGGTCCAGACGCTTTTCTTTGCAAGCTCCTTTGACTACGATGACCTGGATGACTGAGAACCTTCCCAGACGTATCAGGCTGTTGTTCTCCTTTATCTTATAGTGGACAGAAATTATTTTTTGGAGTGGCACAAATAATTTGTGTGGCATCAGATTTGATGCAGAACAGCTGATTGTTCTGTAAATAGTTTGAAATGTTAGTTTAAAAAACGCCTTGGCTGCATTAAAAAAAAATAGCTGCAAAAAATGTTGTTTGCATAACTCAGTTACTTTTTTGAAGACGTAACTATATAATTAATTGCCCAGCATTGGTCATTATGTACTATATTTTGCAGACAGAGAGTTACAGGACTCTCTCCCAGACCACAGACTCATAATAAGTCAAAGCTTTATATATTAAAAGAAAAAAACAAAAAAAAAAAACAAAAAAAAAACACACAAGAAAGAAAAGAAAGTTGTGTTTTTCGAAATTGGACTTCAAGTTATTTTTTTACTTCCAATAGTGTTAACATACTACACAGGTCAATGACTAGATTTATTTTTTTTTACATTTTCATTGTAAATGGGCTAAAGCAGTTAATTAAAAGTAGTCTAACATAAATGTAAACGCTGGCGTGACCACAGTGCACACGTGTGATGTCGCTCACAGTGGTCCAAGGGATCGCTCAGGGAGTTTGTGTGTTCGCTCAGACACGTGAAAAATTAGAGGGAACATTGATTGTAAGGTAGACCCTACAATAATACATACACAGAAAAAAAACAGCAATAAAATGACCCCCTATGAGCAAGCACTTTGGCGACAGTGGGAAGGAAAAACTTCCTTTTAACAGGAAGAAACCTCCAGCAGAACCAGCCTCAGGAACGTGTGGCCATCTGCTGCGACCGGTTGGGGTGGGAGAAGGAAGACAGGATAAAATACATGCTGTAGAAGAGAGACAGAGATTAATAACAAGTATGATTCAATGCAGAGAGGTCTATTAACATATAGTGAGTGAAGAAGGTGACTGAAAATGAAAAACTCAATGCATCATGGGAGTCCCCCAGCAGCCTATGCCTATTGCAGCATAACTAAGGGAGGATTCAGGGTCACCTGGTCCAGCCCTAACATATAGTTAGCCAACAGGAATGTTTTAAGCCTAATCTTAAAAGTAGAGAAAGTGTCTGTCTCCCGAATCCAAACTGGAAGCTGGTTCCACAGAAGAGGGGCCTGAAAAATGAAGCCTTACCCACCCATTCTACTTTTAAATACTCTAGGAACAACAAGTAAGCCTGCAGTGCGAGAGCAAAGTGCTCTAATGGGGTGATATGGTCCTATAAGGTCATTAAGATAAGACGGGACCTGATTATTTAAGACCTTGTATGTGAGGAGCAGGATTTTGAATTCAATTCTGGATTTAACAGGGAGCAAATGAAGGTTCCTGATAGCTGACTTCACAAATATCGAAAGGGGACCAAAAGCATTCATTATCTTAGGTACATGTCTGTCAGGAGCACATACAGTGGGGCAAAAAAGTATTTAGTCAGCCACCGATTGTACAAGTTCCCCCACCTAAAATGATGACAGAGGTCAGTAATTTGCACCAGAGGTACACTTCAACTGTGAGAGACAGAATGTGAAAAAAAAAATAAA